CCCCCCCCCCCCCTCCCCCACACACACACCCGGTCCACCCCTATATATAATGGAAATACCCCAACTTCAGGCTCAGGACATCATTTCCCTTCTTTTAGACTCTTAATTAATCAAAAAATGGCATCAAACTCAATCAAATTATCCTTTCTTCTATTTCTTGCCATGTTCATATGTACTTCAGAAGGAGAATTTGATCAGCCCCAAAAAACCAAAATGTCTTTATATTTTCAAGATTTCACCAGTGGAAAGAATGCCACTGTAATACAGGTCATTCCTCAGCCCAATGGGCCCCTTAATTTCACCAAATTTGGAGCCATTTTCGTCACGGATATCCAATAACGGAAGGATTTGATTCGAATTCAGCTGAGGTTGGACGAGCACAAGGTATGTATGTGACTTCGGCTTTGAATGGGTCTAATACTCATGTCCTAGTATCGATTGTCTTCACTAATAAAGAGTACAAAGGTAGTACTCTTGAACTTCAAGGACGCAGTGCTCAATTTGACGAGGTAAGAGAAGTGGCAGTTGTGGGCGGTACTGGAAAATTCCGTTTAGCACGTGGCTATGTTACTTTTGAGACAATTTATTATGATCCTACAATTTCATACGCTGTCATTCAGTGTAACGTTACTGTATTCCACTATTAATTGATACTTTTGGCCTCTAAACCAAATAAAGAATTTATAACATATTTGTGCATTAGTATTCAACTTTATTTTTATCATGAATCAAGTTATTTGAGGTGATTTTTGGATGTAAATTTTTTGTAGGGACGAAAAGTTTTAATTTTTTCATAGGTTACATACAAAAATTGAACAAAAAGGTTAGTGATAGGTATGCAACTTTGCTCAAAGGTTGGGAATCATTAGTTCAATTCACCCCGTATTTAAATTTTTCACTTTGTTTAAAGTTTCTAATACATTAACTTTTACTAAGCGATTTTCTATCTATATGACCAGAAAAAAATAAATTTAAATTCATAATTTATTAAGAAATTCGACAATCACTTACTTCAACGGTTTTATCAAGAAAACATTTTTTTTTTTTTTAACTATGATAAAAGTATGTAATCATTTATCTATGTGAAAATGATTTTTCTGAAAAAATTAAAAATTATAATGGAGAAGTCATTGAACAATTTAATGGTGAATTGTCTTTATTTTCTCTTATATTTTTCCGTTCAATTACATAAAAATAAATTATTTTCATCCATAAGTCTGACATTACTATTTTTTTATATAATTTGCATATAATTGATAATTTAAAAATAATAGGACAACATTTTCGATATAATGTTTCATTAAATGAGCATCAAATGAGTACGGCTAAATATATTGACAAACCAATTTATTTTTTATTTTTTTTGTAAGTCATCCACAATTTAATTGCATGAATAGTACAGCACCTTTACTCATACATTTTTGTGCCCAACATTTTCATCGCATTTTTATTAACGACCTTCCATTAATTAAAACACCTCATTTTGATGATAATTTCTGTCAAAAAAAATTCACTAAAAGAGAGTAAAAAAAAAATTTGCTTTTCACTCAATTTTTAAGTAAGCAAAAAACAATGTAGATAAAATTGTGATTAAATATTTGTGCGTCATTTTGAAGCACGCTAATAGAATTTTTGATAAAAACCATATTGTCAAAAAGTAATGTGTGGCAACGCGTGGAGGTCAAGATTCGGGTAAGGCGGGCCAAAGCAAGGTCTAAGCGTAAAAAAAAGGTTTTCTTATTTTTAGTCAATCTAAGAATCATTTAATAATAAAAATAATACTTACCAATCATCTAAAATAGATTTATGGGAACTTTACACATTTTTTCAAAGTTTTCAACAAAAAGATAAGTTTCAAATTCATAATTATATAATGTAGATATCATATGAGGTTATCTGACTCTTTATCGTACTCCAATTCAATATCCCCTTCTTCATCTAATTTGTCCTTCGTGTTGTCCGATAAAAATCAACCTTTTAAAAATTATAAAAAGACATGTATGTATGTAGGTATGTATGTATGCATGTATGTACGTACGCAATCAACGTTGTCGTTGATCACTTATTTAGTGCCCAGGCAGGGCCAGCCCTGAGAATCTCGAGGCCATAAGCGACTAATTATTCTGCGGCCCTAGGCTCGAGCCACAATTTTGGAGCTGACGCTAGGACAAATTTGGGAAAAAGGAAGAAATGGAGAATATAGAGATATGGATGCTGGGAAATGCAAGGACGAGGAGGTAGAGGGGCAAGGCCAGTGGCTTTTGGATGGGAAGAACAGTGTGGGAGATCATTACATGAAAAGTTGTTGTGTCATATAGGGTAGGAGGCGTAGTCACATTGATGATAAGGAAATAGAAACGATTGAGAAGGCAACAGAGGATGGATTTAATATTAATCTTTATCATACAAAATTTGCAATTGAATAACTCCACAAACGAGAAACTAAAAACTTGCCAGATTTCCAGATTGAATCAAGTATACATTACAAATGAGAAGCTTGCAATTTGATAAACCTAGTCAAGTACCTATACAATCATACAAAATTTGCAACTCAATAATTCCATGAGTTAGAAACTAAACAATAGCCAAATTTCCAAACTAAATGAAGTGTACATTAGTCATACATACCCCCTTCCAACCCCAAAACGACCTCACCATGGAGGTCAATCCACGTATCGACTCCCCGGAACGAAAATAATTAAGTTCCATGACTTAACAATTATATCAATTCAACAACAATCACAATTAACAATTCATACAAAAGTAATCAAACATCAAAATCTAGAAGAACATATAGTTATGAATATATTGAATTCTTAAAGTAAAATCAGAACACAGAACACCCCACTTTTGTGTATTCCATTAGCACGTAAAAAGGATAAATCTCGTTTATCGAAAACAATTTAGTAAGCCCATCGAGAATAGACATTGCAAAATTTTCACATCCACACATGATAATTTATTGTCACTACAACAAAACTCCTTAAATGCTTCTATTATGTTTAGTTAGAATGCCAGCATGTA